CTGGACTCGGCATCTCTCCTCGTGCCTGGGGTGTAAGCAGGTTTGAGGGTTTGGGTGCCCCAGGGGACAGTGCGGGGGAAGGGATGCCAGTGGGTGCTGCCAGCTGTTGTGACTTGCCAAGGGACTTGTTGCAGCTTAAGTCTCGCCTGTCCCCATGTCTGACCCTGCGACCACCTTATCTCGCTGCTGCCAAGCTGCGTGACAGCCAGGGAAACTGAGGCACAGGAGCTGTGTGTCCCTGCTTCTGCTCTGGCCCCCCGGGCTCTGCCTGTCCCCAGCCCTCCTGATGCTCCTGCCTGCTGCCCTGCCCTAGGTACCACCCCAGCCGCCAAGATGTCCAGCAAACGAGCCAAAGCCAAGACCACCAAGAAGCGCCCTCAGCGCGCCACCTCCAACGTCTTCGCCATGTTCGACCAGTCGCAGATCCAAGAGTTCAAGGAAGCCTTCAACATGATTGACCAGAACCGTGATGGCTTCATTGACAAGGAGGATCTGCATGACATGCTGGCTTCCCTCGGTAAGGAGATCCTTCCCTCGTGCCTCCGTGTGTCCCTCTGCCCTCAACGCCTCCTCAGTGAGTGGGGAGAGCTGCTGGGTGACCTGGTGCCTTACACCCAGGGTTGAAAAACAGCTTTGGTGCGATGCCACTGAGGCACAGCCCTCCTGCTTGATGCTGGCTGCAAAATCTGTGCAGGGGGAGGTTCTCTGCTGGTGCCAGTTGTTCACAGAAGGTGTGTTTGTGGAGGCACTCAAGGGCGGCTGCTTGGTGTGATGCTCATACAGCCACACTCACTCAAAGGGGGGTTGGAGAAGCTCTGCCCTAGGAGCAACCACTGGCCACAGCCATTGAGTATTTGAGTAGTCTCACCCCAAAACATCAGCTGGGGTTGTACTCCCATTGCTCTCAGCCTGGGTGACATAAGAGACCGATTCCTGCACCAGCACGATACCTCAGCTGGTTGAGACCTGCAGGTCTGGCCACACTCCCCAGCCAGAGCCCATTCTCCTTCACTGCAGATCACAGCTCCCACCTCCCACTCCCTGTGGCACCTCCTTGGTGCTTTGGGAGGTCTGTCAATGATTGACCTGGCAGCCAAACCTGTTCCGGAGGTCCTGTCCAGCCATGGGAGGGACCTCCCTCCTCCCAGTGAGCCGTAGCTGTGGGAGCAGAGAGGGGCTGGGCACTGAGGCTCATGGACCTCAGCGGAGAAGATTAAACCATCCCTGATGCATCCACAGTAGGAGCAGTGCTATAGACGTCAGCAGTGCGAGGCTTGTGGGGGGACATTACTTCTCCTCAGGTGGTTCTGGGTGTCAGCTGCTGCAGGAACAGGGAAAAGCCATGACTTTAATCCCAGATGAATTCCTGCATCTCCATTGAGGCTGAGCTGGGCAGAGCCTGGTTCCAGGTGTCCTCCAGCACGGACGTGCTAAGGAGAGAGCACCAGGCACTGGAGAAACCCCTTCCCTGGTTTGTGGGGTGGGTGAACGTGCACCAGCGAATTCATTTCTAATATAAAAACCAAAGAGCTGGCTGGGTGCATGGGCTGGCCTTGGGGATGAGTGCTGGGGGATGGAAAACAAAGCACTGCACCCACCCCCTGTGCCTCTGTCCGGCAGGGAAGAACCCCACCGACGAGTACCTGGAGGGCATGATGAGCGAGGCACCGGGGCCCATCAACTTCACCATGTTCCTCACCATGTTCGGGGAGAAGCTGAACGGCACTGACCCGGAGGACGTGATCCGCAACGCCTTCGCCTG